GCCCCCACCCCGCCGCCTCCTCCACGGAGCAGTTCTGTTTTCCCTGGCCGCATTGGCCTTCTGGAGCGCTGAGGGACGGATACGGCCGAGGGAGAAATAGTGCTTGTATAGACAGCGCCATGCGGTAGACCCATTCCACGGCGTCGTCGTCGGAGGCGAAATGGATCCGAATCTCCATGAAACGACATGTTTTTGTTTTTTGTTTGTTGTCGTCCTTCTCGTTACAATTTGGGTACCGACATGTGATAATGCCGGTCTGCTTCCTGGACACAAACACCACCGGAATGGTTTGATTCGGCCTTCCGCTAAATTGCTCCAAGACGGAATTTTTATTTTTTCGAAAATCATCAGCCCAAGTCTTCCAGCAGCACCATCACCGATGCAAAACACCCCACTCTCACCTCTCTCCCCCGCTCGAAAACACGTTAATATCAAGTAGCAGGCATTACAGACCCCCCCCCCCTCCTTCCCTCTCTGCTTTCGCTCAAGAGACAATTAATTAGGCCACCTCCCGCCTTCATTCTTCTCCTCCCGGCGCCCTATCCAGCTCCTCCAGGACGCCCCCCGCAGCGCCTCGCGTAGCGCCACCGCCGCCATAAAGGAATCGTCTGCCGCATTGTCTCGGGGCGGGCAGCTTCTTTAGCGACGGGCGCCGCGAGGCTCTGTGCTGTGCTGCCCGCGCCCACGCGGCCTCTACGCGGCCTCCTCCCGCTCCTCCTCCTCCTCGCCGTCAACGGCGACGTCGTGGGGCAGAACACAAAGTGCTCACGCCAAGGGGCGGCACCTGGCGCTGTGGCGCCCAGCCGCAAGGTGGTTTAGTGAAATGGAAAGCACCCCCCGCCCCCCTTTTCCCGTTTTACCCCCCTCTCCTCTCCCTCCGCCAAGTTCGTGCGTAAAGTCAGTCTGTGTGTGTGCGTGTGTTTTTCCACCAGCCGCCGTCGTCCCCGTCCCGCCATCCAGGTGAATTGGTCCTATACTACTGCTGCGGGCCCCCCTTTATTCTTCCCCAAGGACGCCGCTGCGGGGCGGTGGGGGTCGGG